GGCTAAAGGCTTTCATCAACAGGAAGGCTTGGATTTCTCAGATACCTTTAGTCCTGTTGCTAAACCTACTACCATCAGAATCCTACTCTCCATTGCAGTCACTTATGATTGGTTTGTTCATCAATTGGATGTCAGTAATGCGTTTCTTCATGGTCACTTAAAGGAAGATGTTTATATGATCCAACCTCCTGGTTTTGTGGATTCTTCCAAACCTCATCATGTGTGTAAACTTCGAAAATCTCTCTATGGTCTTAAACAGGCTCCTAGAGCTTGGTATGAGGCTTTCTACCATGCTCTTCTCTCTTTGGGGTTTAGTCCTTCCTACTCTGATCCTAGTCTCTTTATTAAAAGAGACACTTCCATTACCTTTATCTTGGTTTATGTTGATGATATAATCATCACTGGTAGTTCTTCTACTGAGTGCAGATCAATCATATCGAACCTGCAAATCCTGTTCCCTGTGAAGGATCTGGGAGATATCCATTACTTTTTGGGTATTGAAGTCCACAAATCTGACCAGGGCTTGTTGCTGCATCAGACTAAGTATGCTTTAGACTTACTCAAGAAGACAGATATGCTTGGTGCTAAACCTTGTGCCACACCCGTGTCTACTGCCAAGCTAGATCATTCCGGCACTCTTCTCTCTGATCCCACCTCTTATAGGTCCACAGTTGGTGCCTTACAATATCTTACTTGGACCCGGCCTGATTTAGCATTTTCTGTCAACCACGTTTGCCAATATATGCACTCTCCACGAACAATTCACTTGCAGGCAGTCAAACGTATACTGAGATACCTCAAGGGCACTGTGGATTCAGGTCTTTGGTTTACTAAAGGTCCTCAATGTCTCACTGCTTGGTCTGATGCAGATTGGGCAGGTTGCCCTGTGGATAGAAGGTCCACTAGTGGGTATTGTGTGTTCTTAGGCTCTAATCTCATCTCCTGGAGTGCTAAGAAACAAGCCACAGTGGCTCGGTCATCCACCGAGGCTGAGTACAGATCTCTTGCTCATACTGCTACTGAGCTTACATGGGTGTGCAAGATTCTGCACGACATATCCTTCCCTCTGTTACAAAAACCAGTCATCTACTGTGATAACAAAAGTGCCATTGCTCTTGCTTTCAATCCAGTTTTTCATGCTCGCACTAAGCATGTTGAAATTGACTATCACTATATTCGGGAGAAGGTTTTACTTGGTCATATTGGTGTTCAACATGTTGCTTCCCTTCTCCAAATTGCAGACATTTTTACCAAGCCTTTAGCTGTTGATCGATTTGCTGCTCTTACTTACAAGCTCTCAGTTCGATCTCCTTCCATCAGCTTGAGGGGGTGTGTTAAGAGTAACAGTAATACATCACAACCATCACCAGATTAGTTTCATTTACTTGGTTGTTAAGCTTGGAATGTCTGTGATTAGTTAGATACATTATGCTGAGCTGGCACATAGATTGGGATAGGATATTTATGTATAAATACCATTGTATTGCTCTATTGAATAAATAAGAATCATTTGATATATTTTTCACTCTCTCTCTACAATTCTCTTTCTCTCTCTTTACTAAACTTTCCTCTCTGAGTTCTTAAATTCAACATCATAGTCCATATATATTGTTGGTTATACAATAGAAAGAGAGTTTAAACAAAATTTATGAGTATATCACGCAGTTTTGGTTGAAGAAGTTTTTAATTACAAGAAATATCTGAATCTACCATTTGACATTGCAAAGGAAGATATGTGTGCTGATGAATAGTAATCCAACAAACCCTGGACACCTCAGAAGAAACATCCAATAAAAAACATGGTATCGTTTCTTTAAAGTTACACTCAATTGAGGTCATAATAGTCGGCTCAGTCACAGTGTTTATGGGGCTTAATCCCTCAATTACCTTTACAATTTTATATTCTGTCATATTAAATTGAAAAAATTGCAGGCAGCGTTTTCCTATTCACTACCGTACCTTATTAAAAAAAGTATTGGTACCATTCAAGACACACTATGATGGTTCAAAATTACACTTCAAGATTAAAACGATAAGGTTCAAGTTAATAATAAAGAATGATGTGGTTATTACTATAACAAGGTTGATATTTACTAGTTACATTATGGATGTTTTATTACATTGTCAAGATAGGTTTTTGTACTTCAATAGGATTGAATTATAAAATTAAGGTTTAGTATTACACCATTTATGTAATATTACAGTAGATGCATATTATTGCTAGTGAACATTATGAATTTACACAACATCGTAATCATGTTACACCATGATGTCAGCACACCAGGTCTAAGGTAAGGTTACATCGTAACCGTTCAAATTTATATACTAAGGTTACATAATTATCTTAGCATCATATTTAGTTACACCAAATAACGTTGGTATTACTATACCAAGGTTGCTCCTTATGATGTGGGCCTTAGGTTACAATGTAATCGTTCAAATTTACATTTTAAGGTTGCATAATTATCTTAGCGTTATATTTAATATTACTATTGGACTTCGATGATACTGTTAAGGTAGTATATAATACTAGGATGCTATTGTATTATATTTTAACGTTGAAATTAAATGGTACCGGTAATTTATTTTTTATTAAGGTATCCAAACAACAAATGTGTTGTTTGAATTGCTAGGTTCTATTCTCTCTCTCTCTCTCTCTCTCTCTAACATCGCTGGTAGACAACCAAAAAAAAAAACAACAAAAAAAAAGAAAAAGAAAAAAGAACTAACATATAGAAATAGGACTGTATATAGGTTCTCGGGTGGCTTAAGAATGGAACATTTCAAAGACAGCCACTTTCGAGCCTTTTTCCAGCCAAGCCACATCGAATTAGCCGTTGAAAAAGGTACCATTCTCTTTGTTTCGTCGAGAAGTATGATTTTTGTTTTTTAGTCACTCGTTTTCGTTGAGTATTGAAGAAGTTATGAACGTTTAAAGTTTACCTAGTTTCTGGCGAGTTTTCCAGTTTTCGTGGACCAGTCACCTTTCAGGCTATTTTTCGGCCATCTCCGGCAACCATTGGGCTTCCAAATAGGTATATTCTTGTTCTACACTTTCATATCTTCATTTTGAAATATAATGGGTCAAATTTGGTTAAGAAACGATTGAGTTACGAAGCTTTGAAAATTGCCCAAACTTCCGGCCAATAGCTTCGGGACACTTAATGAAGTTTTTAATGGAATGACCAAAATAATGGATGGTGGATGATGAGTCCATATTATACCATATATTTTACCCTAATATTAGTATTGATTTATTGGTTATTTTGGTAGAATTTTGATACTTTGGATTATATTTTCAATGTAGGACATTCGAATTCCTCTGGATCAAAAAGTGATCAAATGGATGAATTTTGGAGTGATTCTAATTGGAGGATGTTCGTGTGCCTTTCAAGATGATTGTATCAAAATTCCAGATTTTTCTACCAAGTCGTTTGACCGTGGCGATGAAATAAAGGTCCAGCGCGCAGTTTTCCCAGATTGACGTTTCTGAACGTCTTGGGTATTTTGGAGGTCAAGATGGAGTATTTTGAGGAAGATTCCTTCTGAGGATTTGTAGGGGACATCTTCAACTTTCAAAAGAGACCTTTGGGACCAAATCGGAGTTGATTTGATCGGTCAAAAGACTAATGAACTCCGAATTCTAGTTCAAATAGGAAACCTTTTATTTTCTGTTTTATCATTTAATTATGTTTCCTAGTTTTATTCTAAGACCTTTTCAAGGTAGGGTTTTATTTTCTAGTAGTATAAATAAGACTTTTTAGCCATTAGGTTAGATGGGGGAACATATGTGGATAATTTAGCTAGGCTTTGACGCTTTGTATTTTGAAGGTGTTTTCTATCATTTTTCTATTTCAATAAATTCCTTTTGTTTTATGGTTGTTCGTAACTAATTTTCGTTTGCTTGGGCGATGCTTTGAGCCTTAGCATGAACATGTAGTTTTTATTTAATTGCTTATCATATTATGCATGCATGCTTTGAATTATTAATCATTGTGCTTTAAACTGTCTCTATATCTTAATTCTTAGCTACCATTATGATGTTTAGATAAGTAATTGGATGCAATTCGGTCGGAATACCACCGAGGAATTGAGCATTGCTTCCTGTGATTGATAGTTGTAATTTCACCTAAGATGAATACCATGTCTTAGGGGTTGCATGGTTTTTCAAAGGGTTTTCACAAAGCGTAATGAGTCATGCATGTTTATATTTGATCTGAATACCATGAACGGATTGCATGTTTGATGTACATTCTAGCTTGAATGCCACGAGTAGAATATGTATTAGGAAAACCTAACCTTCAAAGTTGCATGGGTAATTCATAAGTAATTGATAAATCTACATAGGATTGTTAAGGGGACGGCGAAACCCTAGGTTTTTACAATTTGGTTTTCAAAATTATTTTCTTTTGTTTTCTTTACTGTTAATCTCTTTAATCATTTTAATTAAATTTGTCTTTATTATTTTTAAATTCAAAATTAACTTTTTCCAATCTTTGTTTTCAAATAGTTAATTAAGAATTAGTTTAAATACAAATTATTCATTCAATCCATGCGGAAAACGACCTTGTTTAAGCCGTTTATACTACAACTACCTTGTTCTGTTGTAAGTATTTTTTAAGTGTTTTTATCCCTACTTTTGTAGGTGGTAAAAATCCCTATCAGTGGACAATCTCAATGATCATTTCTATTGATTTTTAATTTCAGGACTAAAGTAATGTGTTATGTAAATTTCTAAAACCATTTTGACTAAAAAACCTTTTAAGAATAATAATTACAAACTAAGAGCATGGAAGCTTCTTCTAACCGATACCCTGTACTAATCAGATTCAAATAATAAACTACTAAAACAAAAAAAAGTAATTTGATTTAATATTGCAAAAGAAGAAATCTGTGCCGTACTTTGTCATGTTGTATGCATTGTTAATTATATACGATCGAACTAATCCAAAAAAGTAACAGAGAGAGAGAGACCTTGATCAAATCCCGGAGAAGAAAATTGGGTTGAATACTGAGGAGGGGGATGAGAAGACTTTTCTGTCCTCATGAGTATCACATCATCCATTCTTCCTATCTATAAATCTTTGTCTTCCTTTCCCAATTTTTCCTAACAATCTCGACAGCATTCTTTTGGTAGTCACTCTCCTTGAAGATCCTGAAAAGGAAAAAAAAGAGAGAAAAGATCAATCGAGATGGGACGAGCTCCGTGCTGTGACAAGGCCAATGTCAAGAAGGGACCATGGTCACCTGAAGAGGATGCTAGACTTAAGGCCTATATTGAAGAGAATGGTACTGGTGGCAACTGGATTGCTCTTCCTCAGAAAATTGGTAAGAACACAAAACTGACTCAATTGTTGACACACTCTCTTGATATATATACGCATCTACATGATAATTTGTTCTTAGGGATATTATGATTTTGGTTTGGAAAGTTGTACACATATTTCAAAGCTTGATCTGATTTGACCTTTTGCAGGGCTCAAAAGATGTGGAAAAAGTTGCAGGCTGAGATGGCTCAACTACTTGAGGCCCAACATCAAGCATGGTGGATTCTCAGAAAAAGAAGACAACATCATCTGCAGCCTCTATATAAGTATTGGTAGCAGGTAAAATTTAATATCACCCAAGAAATTTAACTTCAACATGTTGTCCCTTTTTCCTTGTCCAAGATACTTTCCCAATACAAATAATTGATTATACTCCAAGTCTTCAAGGTAGCAAGGGTATATCGCATCAAATAGTTCAATAATATATATCATTGATCCACCATCCTAGGGTTTTCTTAGTTTCTTGTTGTTGGAGTCTAATATGTTGATATTCGATCCTTTACTTTTAGGTGGTCTATTATTGCTGCCCAGTTGCCTGGAAGAACTGATAATGATATAAAGAACTACTGGAATACCCGATTGAAGAAAAAGTTACTCGGAATGCGTAAACAATCCAATATCAATCGATCTCCCTCTGATCAGAGTCAGGATCATCAGCTCAAGGATGCCGACGATGCACAGGCCTTAAGCAGCTCTGCCCTTGAAAGACTTCAACTCCATATGCAGCTTCAAAGCCTTCAGAACCCTTTTTCTTTCTACAACTACCCTGCACTGTGGCCCAAGTTGCACCCTTTGCAAGAAAAGATGATCCAGACCCTCCGTTCCATGAATGATAATAACCCTATGATGCACCACCATGCTCTCACAACTCCTCTTCAGCCAGCTCAAGGGCAAAAGGGTAATATCAATGATGTCTACGAGCAAGTGGAGCCCACTTCTGCGTCTATCTTAATTCAAGAGGAATATGCAAAATTATGCAATCAAAAAAGTATGGATGAGCTGGAGAATCCTTTGAATGGCATGTCATCCTCGGACACCCGCTATCATGCTTGGATCTCCACAAGCAATCAAGTGGACTCAACTATTGTGGCGGCGAAAGCTGATAATGTAGAGCAGTTAAACAGCGTCGGAACTCATGGCCCTCATCACCAGGTTAATTTAAGCTTCCACGGTGAATTTGGTGACACCGATAACAATAAATGTGTTGGTTTCACAGCACAACAAGAACATGATCAAATGGCTGAATTTGATTGTTTCAAAGAAATGAATGTCTCCAAGGACAGCTTGGTGTGGTGGGCTAACGAGTTTGACGCCAAATCTGCCTCTTCAGACTCCTGGGATTCTACTTCTATTCTTCACTCCCAAGGGGTGTTTCAAGACTATGAATTAGGTTACAACATGTAGTTACGGATAATAGGGAGGAGTAATGCTATATAAATCATATTTACCGACCTTATTGTGGACTGCATCAGTAATAGAAGATCATGACACCACAAATACAATAGCAAGTGGGTTATACTTCTATTGATGTGATTTACAATGTGGTTCATAGATGTGTTCAAATAGCTTTATCGAATAGGGAACTGGGTATGGTAATTTTTCTGGGGTCATAAGATGGTAAAGGCAAGAATGATAATTAATTAGTTGACATCGATCATAGTGTGCATGTTTTGTAAATTTGTGTTAAGAATAATGTTAATATGGTTCTTGTCTCCTGCCAGACTACATTCTAACGATATTTAAATTCATCATTCTCTATTTCATTCACTTGTTATAGGAAATACGAAATGGCAAGGAAATCCAAGTGAACATAAGAACCTAAATAATAAAAGTTATTATGGAATTATTGAACTTGCTTAAACCCATCTAAGGGTAAACAAACTCGGGTGACCTTGTACCGTGTGCTTAATACTCAATAGTCACTCCTTTCTTCTCCTCAATATATTTACCATTATGTACTTGGCCTCTTCCTTATGACCTTTTTTTGGAAGGGCTAGAGTACAAGTGATTCTTATAGTCTTGAAACAATCACTAAGTGTTTCAAATTGGTATGAAGAAGAATACAATGCTAGAGTTGTTCTAATTGTTTTAGGACTAAAACTCAATGATTTACTTGGGGTATGAAGAAGAATACAATGCTATAGTTGTTCTAATTGTTTTAGGACTAAAACTCAATGATTTACTTGGACTAGAACTCATGCTTGGATAAGGATTATAATTTAGTAATTCCTTATAAGATTGTAATAGGGCAATCAAGTTGTTTTGATATATATAACACAGGCTGCTGCTCTCACAAGTACTACTCTTGATTGAACCAAATACCCATTGTTTGGCAGGGTATCGAGAACTTGCAAGAGAGGAGAAAGTTTATGTGTTACAGGATTGGGATGGCTTCTCCATCATCGTTCATGTCTATAGGTTTGTAGACTCTTTGTTTTTAATTTCAATTGCATTGCATCAGTTGATATGTTGTCTTGGTTGTGATTTAATTGCTTGAACAAATTTGTTTCTTTAGACTAAGATTTAATATTAACTTAGATAATCGAGTTCGGTCTAACATCACAATGCTAGAAGGTCACTTTGAGATTTAACAAGATTTCGTATATTTGGTTATTAATGTTCTTTGGCAATAATATGATTTTGGTCACTATAGATTGCACACAGCTCGATTTTGGTCTATCCAGTTTCTTCTTTTCTTTAGTTGAAATTCATGAGGTTTCAGTCATCAGTAAATTTAAGGAGGAATAAAAAAAAAGCAAATGAATTGTAACCAGGGCCGGTCCAGAGATTTTTAAGGCCCGGACGAAACCAAAAAAATGTGCCCTCACTTCATCTAAAAACTTATTTGTTTTTACATATAAGACATTGATACAATTATATTTAGAAAAGCATGTCAAACTCAGTACTTTAGAACACACGGAAAAACTAATTTATTTTGTATCGAGAGAAGGAAACCAAAAAACTTCAAGTGTACAAGTAGATAGTATGAGTTTTGTCTTCCATCTGAACTTTTAAAGTGTTTTTGTATAAATCTTGAGGTGTTTTTTCTTATTTACTAACCTCCTCAATATATGACTAAAAAATAATGATATTTTCGAGCCTTTAGGGACATGTATAAGTAATGAATGGCCACCAAATGATACCTTTTGATGACACGTCATATGATTTGCAAATTTGGTCTAAAAATTTAGTCTACGCATTACCCTTTGTTGAAGATTAGATTTGAATTGGAACAAATGTTTAAAAATAGCAACCCACATAGTTACTAGCTAGTAATTAAAAATAAATTAACAACCAAACAAAAATTTGTAAAAATAAAAAAAAAAATAAACATGCACATAGCATTTCGAACTTATGACCTTTTGTTAATTTTAAGTACAAAAACCATTGCTTCTAAAAATTGTAAAAATTGGAATTTAAATAAGCACACATGGTGTTTTGAACCAAAGACCTACTCATTAATTTCAAATAACAGAATCACCAGTTCTAGTTAAATTTCTTTGTCATTAAACCAAATTTTATAAATTTATACTCTTATGAAAATGTATATAAATATGCACACTAATAATTTTGGTGCCCCTAATTTTTTTGGGCCCCAGATGGTCACCCTGCTTACACTGGGCTTGGGCTGGCCCTGATTGTAACCGAACAAGGATGACGAAATGAATGAATGAATCAACGTTCTACAGTTCACCCACAATATTATACAACGAAAGGAAAAAGATTAACCGAAGACTCTCCTCCGTGGACGGAGCCCAAAAACTATTAGCAAAAATTTAAACTAAAAAACATACAATTGAGCAAAATTTCAATAGCAAACAACAGTCTACAAAATAAGATGGGCAAAGTTCATAGATAATACTAATATTTCATAACAAAACCAGTAAGCGATTACAAACACAAAACCACACTACTACAAAAGTAGCTTATTGTGTCGGCATTGGTATCGGTTTAATATAATATAGTGGCGGATAAGACATTTCCGACAACCATTTTAGATGGTGTTAGAATTGCTGTAGGTTATAACCGACATAAACTATCTATGTCGCGTATAGCCGACATAGATTGTTTATATTGCTTATAACCGACATAATTTTTAATCTTTTTAAATTGTGGTGTTGTATAAAAAAAGAATCATGTCACTTTCAACCGACATAAAGTTAATGTCGGTTAAAAAGAGAATCGTGTCGCTTCTACCTGACAATAATAATTATTTTTAAATATTTTAATTATAGCCGACAGGTTGGTGTTCTTTATATATCTTGCACCGTGTCTTCTTCTTGCTCTCTTGCGTCTTTCTTATTTCTTCTTCTTCATCTTCATTTATTCCTTCTTCTTCATCGTCATTTATTCCTTCTTCACAGTAAGTTTTTCTTGCTTCTAGTATTTTTATTTTCTCCTCTTATGTTTAATTTTTGTTTACAATTTAATTTGTAGGGATTTTATTCGAGTTGGTTGGGTGCGTAAAGAATTGATCAATGCCAGAGTTCTTCCCTAATTCAGGTTTCTAACACTAAATTTCTTAATTTTTAAATTGTATAATACACAAGTTTATTTATTTAAAAAATTTACTTTAAGTAATTAGATAAATTTGTAGTATTTATGTTAATTAGACTATGTTTCAATTCGTGTGTGGTGACATTTTTATTATAAAATTATATTTTTGTTTTTTTATTGCATCTTTTATATAAGTTAAATTTTATTTATTAAAATATTAAAACGTTACATGGGATACACAAGAAAAAGTAGCTGAAGATTTTTTTTTTCTTTGGGTTAAATTATATATATATATATATATTTTTTTTTTTTAAAGCTAGTTTCCTGTCTTGAAATCTTTAGGCGGGAATTTTCCTGCTCGCTTTGCACTTGGAAATTGTAGGAATGTCAGAGATGGTGTTGGTTGTAGTCGACGGGACAATGAATAGGGAAGAGGGATCTCAGGTGTGTTGGACGTGGCGTCGGTGATAGCCAACGAGACAATGACTTGGGAAGAGCGATGTCAGTTAGAGGTGGTGTCACTCAACAAGAGAATGTATTGGGAAGAGGGATGTCAATTGTGTCAGATGTCGTGTCGATTTTTAGCGACGCTAGGTTCAATTGATTCGACATCAGGTACATTTAGTGGCGGTGTTAACCGACGCCATGTTTTCACCCATATTAAAACTCCTTTCTTCCCCCATTTCATCCGTGCACCCCTTTTCCTCCACATTTGATTTTCTCTTCCCCAGCTTATTTTTCTTCAGTTCTCTCTTTCTCCTTCTACTTTCAATAGCTTTTGCCATGGATGAACATATCGAAGATTAACATTCTGAGGAACACCAATTTGAAGAGGAAGAGTTCCAAACTGGTTCATTTTTAAATTATTATTATTATTATTATCTTCAGTTTGTATTTTCTATTTTGACTAATATTATGCTTAAATTGAAAATTGGTTTTTAATTGTTTGTTCTGCATTAATAAGGAACACCTCAATGGAGAACTCACGGACCCACAATTCCCAAATGGATAGGACAACAACTTTGTTCATTTGATTCGTCCAACAAATGCATTAGTTCAAATTTTGGTGCTTTTTCAAAACATGTAGCGTCAGAGGTTAGAGATAATAGAAATCTTCTGTTGATGAGAGATTGGCGCTTGGTGAAGGAACAAGACAAGTAAGTGTTATGGAATAGAATAAAGGTATATATATTATTATTTTTTTTTACTTGAAACTAGTAGAATAAGTCAATGACTACAATAATAATTAATTAGCTTGAATTCCTTTTTTATGAATTTAGGGAAGTGTTATTTTTCAAGAAGAAGATTTATTGAAAACGTCTCTGATCTGCCACATGATGCTTTAGATTGCCGAGCATGTGCACAAAGGATATAGAAATAGATTAAAAAAAAAAAATTATACTCGAAGAGCATAGGAGGAGCACTACAACCCTCCTCCTAATGTGGATTATACATAGTGGGCAGAGTTGGTAAGATACTGAGGTAAAGAAAGAACTAAGGTAAACCTTTTATGATTTAATTTGTAATATTGTTAGTGTTTGTTACTATTGTTATTGTTAATAGTTATTATTAATGTTTGTTTTGGCCTATACATTAAATATGGTGTGAATTATTTTTTTGTAAACTTTTTTTTTAATTACTATTAATTAAAAACTAAGACATACTTTTTGTTTTATATTTTTATTATTAATGGTTTGTGGTGTTGCTTAAGGGCAACAATAAATTTATTATTTTATTTATCAAATTGTTAGGTGATGTTGGTTAGGACCAACACTAGTCTTGTGACATCTCACATCGCCCAGGGGAGTGACCCTTAAATGTATATTTCCATCCCTACCTAGCACGAGGCCTTTTTGGAGCTCCGAAGTTAAGCGAGTAACGCACGAGAGCATTCCCAGGATGGGTGAGCCATCGGGAAGTTCTCGTGTGAGTTCCCAAAAACAAAAACCGTGAGGGCGTGGTTGGGGCCCAAAGCGGACAATATCGTGCTACGGTGGAGTCGGGCCCGGGAAGTGGTCCCGCCCAGGCCGGGATATGACAAGTCTGCTCTATCTGATAGTCTTTCTCAGTACTTAGTGTCGCTTGTATCCAACACTGCTATCCTTTTTTTATTTTATATTGCTTTCCTTCTTCGTGGTGGATTAAGGGGACCAACCG